ACATGGGCATATACAGTCCTAACTTTTACTACCAAAAAACGAGTATTCTGTACTGCCCATGGTTCAGTGACTATAATTAGTTCTTATGTCTACTGTATACAATATGTCATCAGGTCTTTACATTGCAATAAATCTGCCCAATTAAAGTTTCAAAATAAAGTTCTGCCCTAATGTTTGACCAGTATCATATTACATACATACACATCTTTATGACCTCTCCTACAATAACTTTTCTTATTGACCTTCATTCAATTTTCTTAGAACCATTCTATAAACTCCTTGGTTTCTTTTGTATCTTGTTTTGAAATTATTCAATGTAAATTGGCGCATGAATAGACTTCGCCTATGGACCCCACTTAGGACCCCCCCCCCCCCCCCCCCAACCCCCTAAGTGGGCCACAGACCCAACGCTGCGACTGTCGCTTCACTCGGTATGAATGTATGTCCATAATGAGTTGCTGTTTCTGTCTAAATGTATTTTACTGTAATGTAAAACACTTTTAAACCTCGGGGACCCATCGAACATCTATGGCGCTTCAGCAATTTCAGTCATGAAAAGCAGCGATTTAGTTCATTTACTTACTTACCCTATTTTACACTGCTAATTTTATGAGCACAGATTTGAAGATTTGGATGCATTTCCTACAAGAACTTATTCATAAAAATATTACTTGGTACTGTCAAATTATGAGTAACAATCTATTTATCTGTTTATCTGAATAAATACGTTAGCCTCCAAACTTTTTATATGGTTTTGAAATGCTAAAACTTTGCAGCTTTTTAAAAATTGCAAAACTTGATCACATATAAAAGTGTTTTTCTATAGTGATCAGATTTGTTTGTTGATATTCCTGATTGATAGGTTTCTGATTTCTGAAATTTTCAGACTATCTTCTTTTCAAAGAACAGAGTTTTGCTTAAGAGAACCAAAATTTCAAATTTAATCTAGTGAAGAAGGGCTCTAGACATGAAACATGAAACCTAATACCAGGGTGCCAAGAACAGGTCAAGTTATTGTAACTAGTGAGGTATTATCAATTGGTGACAACATGCAATATAAATTTGTATCATATCTGTCAAAGAGTAATGAACCATCACATTCCAGTTTTGGCTGTAATGGCCGCCAAGTGGTAGTAAAAGTTAGGACTG